TTAATACCAACAAAAAAAAGAGAAGAAATATTTCACAAAATATAAAATAAAAGAAATAAAACTGATGTGTAACTTTGTGTAGAATAGTACAAGGATGTCAACATATAGGTTTTGCTACTCAAGAGGAACATAGCTTTTAAAATTTCATCAGTGTTTCTTTGTTCTAACAAATTGGCATTCTGTGATCACACACACACACACCACCGCCCCTACACGATCACTGAAGACAAAATGGGTACGTAAGCAGATGTGGTGAAGACAGATGATGGTGCCCAGCTGTTAAAAGATAAGAGTGTCTGGGGTCTTAAAGGCTTGAAGTTAAGCGGTCATCCAACAGTGAAGCAACAAACCCACATGGAAGAAGCACACCAGCCAGTGCGATCATGAGATGTCATCGAGACCGGGCAATGGGTATCAGGAGATTCACAACAACAAGTAAACAAACAAACAAAATTGCATTGGTGAGAATGGAGGGGGATTGGAGCAGTGACCCAAAGCCCATCTGTGGCCAATGGAACATCCCCCCACAGAGGGGTCGCAGGGAGGGGGTGAGTCAATCAGGATGCAGTAGAGCACTAATGGATTATGCAATATACCTCTGATCCCTTGAGGCCTCCTCATCCCCCACTATCATGACCCCAGTGCCGCTTCCCACTCTGGACTAGACAGGAGCATGTACATAGATACAGGCAGGAGATAAAACTCACAACACATGGAACTCAGGAACAGGAATGGGAATAGAGATACCAAAGGGTAGGGGGAAGAGGAGGTAAGGTGGAGAGGGAGGTGGGTACCGATCGCAATGAAGGACACATAACCACACACACACACCCCATCTAGGGGGAAGAACAACAGAAACCAGAGGGGAAGGGAGACAGTGGTTGGTGTGAGAATAATTAACAATCTATATTCTATCAAGGGGCCACAAGGGTTGGGGGTGGGGAAGAGAAAGGGGAAAAAAAGAGGAGCTGATCCCAAGGACTCAATGGAAAGTGAATGTCTAGAGAGAGAACGATCGAATGTATGTACTAATATGTCGGATACAATTGACGTATGGATTGTAACAAGAGTTGTAAGTGCTTGATGTTGTTGCTGTTTTGTTGTACATTGTTGCTTGGTTTTGCTCTGTCTGCTTTTTGTACATGTTGTCTCTGCAGGCCTGTCTGGATAGGACAGGCTGGATGAACAATCTGGAGGAGAAAACAACGGGACTGACAGTTCCGGGGGGACATGGGAGAGG